GGCCTCTCCCGTTGCGGAGCACAAGCTCCGGACGTGCAGGCTCAGCGGCCATGGCTCACGGGCCTAGCCGCTCTGCAGCATGTGGGATCTTCCCGGACTGGGGCACGAACCCGTGTACCCTGCATCGGCAGGCGGACTCTCAACCACTGCGCCACCAGGGAAGCCCAAGAATTTTATATTCTTAAGCTAAATATGTATGTATTAAAGGGCTGAGATAATTCATATGAATGAAATATTTGCAAAAATATGTTCAGCATAGAACCTGCATTGAGGATTACATAAAGTTAGTAGAATATAGTTTTATTTCTGTGGTGTAAATTTATCAATGTGCATTTGCATTTAATTTTAAAATTCATAGCCTAATAAGATATTAAGATTAACATATTTATTAAATGTGTAGGGCCATTCAATAGCTACTAAGTGTCTACTGTATCTCCAGCATTGAGGTGGAAACTCTGGGAGTCCCAAAGTAGAAGTCATGCTTTCATGTCTTTCCACATTTTCTTAGTTCTCTGGAAATGGTAAATCACAGCTCTTAAAAAGAATCTTTGAATATAGGTCATTTGGAAGTCCGAAATGCATCCAGTCTGTAAGTTATGGCTCACTATTGTGGACACTGATTACCAAAATAAGAACATGATCCCTGACACATTCTACTTGCACAGTAAATGATGATCAGGTCAGTGTCTGCAAAACTGATGACAACTATTGTGACATAGTGTGAGGAATGCATGACATGGGCAAAGCAAATGTGGCCCTAAAATACTAGCATTTTACATCATATGAAGTCCTCATAGCCTCTATATTTGCAGTATTTATATAGAATATTAATGTACACATGCAATCAAATAACAGAAATAAACTGAGCATAGGTTAACTTGTGAAGATCTGAAAATCACAGAAATTTTCAAACTGGGTTGAACCGTGATGCACATACCATTTTAAATGTAACCTTCTGACCTTCTTCCATTGCGTGGCTGGAAAATAATAAGTGAGAAACAAATCAATGTAACTAAGGAGAGAAGTTAATTTTCATAGAAAGCAGCCTAATGATCTCGTTGAGTGGTATTATTTCTTCCTTATCTATATCTGTTATTTTCTTCCTTCTTTCAGTCCATTCTCCAATTTATTGTTAGAATTAGTTTCCAAAATGCAAATCTTACCATATAGCTCTCCTTAGACTTTATAATAAAGTTGTAATTCCTTAGCTAAATATTTCATTGGCTAATATTTCTTTAGCTAAATATTTCATTAGAACTTAAGGAGTAATACATCTTTCAGACACTCATTTCCTACATGAAATGTTATGGAACTAAACTGTGAAATAGGTGAATGTCATCTGGGGTATTTACAAACATGAGTAGTGGATTAGAGAAGAGATCAGAGATGCCATGATATTAAGGCAATAAGGTGGCGACAGAAGTGAATCTCAGACTGTAACACTTGCTGTCGAATATCTTTAGATAAACTACAAAACTTAATTAAAACTTATGAGTTAATGTAAATAAATGCACAGTGAAAGTAGTTTTCAATGTTGATGTTGATTGATTTATTTTTAAATATAGTATGTGCATACCCTGAATAAAAAGAATCCTCTACTTTGGCCTGTAATAGGACCTTGGAATTCTTCCTGGAAGAGAAAATGAGGGCATTACAAATCAAACAACAGTAAAAATAATGCTTCTGGAGAGTATAGTTATTTTCAGCTATCATAATTAAATAATGAGGGAATCAAGGACTTGAGTATATAATTCATATCAATAAGTAATTTTTGTATTTCTACTGGAAGAATTTTCAGTGATACTTGCAGTATCATCAGCGTGTTGTATTTTAAGGTAATTTCCTTATTAGTCTAACAGATACTATTTTCATGAAATTTGTCAGTTGTACATATATTCATCGACAAGTAGGCAGAGGACATTTCATAGATAATTAACTATATTTAAAATCTCCCTTCAGCAGTTTGTTAGAATGAAATGATTTCTTTACAATACATATTGTATGTGCTAACACATGAACAGGCAAAAATATAAAATAGAATTGTGTCATAGTTAAAATACATAATATATCTATGGAAATTTAAATTGAGGGACAAATTTGGTAAACTATATTTATTCAATGAGACTTCAGAAGAGATTTTTCCCAATATAATTATATTAACAGAAATGGTAATGAAAAAACAAAACCAAATAGGGACAAACTGATTATTCATAATGGATGTATTTTGAAGTGTTTCTTTTCTCAAAATATTTCATTTCAAAGTTAATGGAAAAAAATATTTAACATTTTATAATTTCCATAAAGTTGGTTCTTATAGCTTGCTATTTTCAATAGCAAGTTATAAAAGTATCAGGACAGCAATTATATGAAATTTGTCATCAAGACCTTTTTCAAGTATTCCATAATATAAGTACAATCATATTTTTAGATTCTAAGAAATGGCCCTGACATCTATTAAAATTCTAAAATCCCTTCTTTACAACAAATGTATCTTAAATTCTCAACATTCTATATCTAATTCTCATCCTGATTATTAAATCCCCCCAAATTACTTTAAAGATTGAAATTTTTAATATTTAAAAATGTACACATAGAAACTTTATTTGGTTATATAAGAACAGTTATGTATTTTATATTACACAGAAAAAAAGAAAAGTGGGACAGATGTAACTTAAAATGTGCCCAAATTTAGAAATTTCAAACTCAAACATACAGGTCTTTTTAGTCTTATTGGAGATAGAATAGTATATAAAAGAATTTGGGTGGTAGAGCTGAAAAACATGTGGGGATGCGAGTGAGGATATCTAGCAAAGAACATGTAAGAAAAGGGTTTGAATACACTAAAATCTGAAAACTCATTTTCTTTAAGAACCCAAAATATTTCACTATCAAAAATATGGTTTAAAATTAGGTGACTTAGGCCCAGCAAAAGTAATACTTTACTGTAATTTTCTAAAATTCATGTTTTACATTTTTTTCTCTTAGAGATTCCTAGAAAACCTGGCTTGCTGCAAAATACTCTTAAGAGCTATCATTTGTCCAACAAGATATTACTACTAAGTCAGAGTTCACACTTCTATATAGTTATCTGTAAATATAGATAGTCTCACTCAAGGTGGAACATTTAGATAAAGTACCAAACCGCCCACAATACTGAGTAGCTTTGATTTTGCAAATACTAACACTGAAGTGTTGTAGTAAACTAATAATTTGCTGGTGTATTTTAAGAAACTGGATCTTTAAACTGAAATCTTACACTATTCATAAGTCGGGAAGACTCTTCAGAAAGTAAAAGTTAATTCAAAAAAGCATATATTACTTCTAGAAAGTTTGATGAAAACTGATTTGATTTTTTTCATATTGGAAATTCTAAAATTTTAAGGGGCTACTACAGTTCCTCTTACATTTCTCATTAACGTTGGCAGCAGTATTGTCTTCCATGATGGAAGCTTAGTTCAACGATGTGAAGAATTTAGGGAGGAAATAGTGATAATAAAAATAAATTTTGATGAATTTATTTGCCTAAACTGTATGTGTTTTTAAAAGTATTTGCAAACTTTTGGTAGTAGAAGAATAAAATTAATATGGTATTTAAATTAAGAAAAATTTTAACAATAAAATAATAGAAATATTCAAGATTAGACTACAAAGGAAACAGCATAGTGAAAAAAAAATATTTGCCTAGACTGGAAGTCAAGAGATTGTTATAATCTCTAATCCCACTTACTACTATGATCTTGGGAAACTCCTTTAACTATTCTGAGTTGTGTTTCTTTTTGTAAACTGGGGACAACAATACTTGTTAAGTGCCAACAGAGTTGTCAAAAGAATAAAATGAGATCCTATAAGACTAAAAACTATAAGGCATTCCAACAATGTAAGGCATTACTTAAAAGTAACGCCCAGAAACTTTCATCATTGAAAGAGTTAGGATTCTTTTCAAAGGACAATAAAAATGCCACAGTTTCTAGTTTAAAAATATGTTAACTCATTTATGTTCCTCTTAGTTATGTTCATCTTAAACACAGACACTGAGTTTGGGCCATATTTTTGTTAACTGTGGAAAAAACGAAATACCTACGTTTAATGTCTGACATATTTATAATACTTCATGAGCCTTACTCTTACTAATGCTTTAATACCTGGATAGAAAGCTTGTCATTCCAGCCATCTGCCGACCTGTACACAGAGGGGCAGTAAATGGTCCTTGATCTTTTCTCCTATTCCTATCTAATGACTAGGCACACTGCCATGTCCTTTCTTAAACCAAGAATGAATAGGTTTCCTCACTGGGAGGGGCACGGCCCTTGAAAGGAAGTCTAATCCCGGTTTTCCTCACTGCCCACAACCTGGCTTAGAAGGGACAATTAATGGGGTGGAGGACAGTTCTCTTCTTCCTGAGTGTGAAAACACTTCTGCGAACAGATGCTCTTCTGTAGGCTACCTGGGTGTTACATGAGGCTTACCCAGAAGAAGATCTTATAAACCACCACCACAGGGAATGAACAGAAAGGGCTGCCACACACAGAGTGGCAAAGCAAGCATGCAGTTTGTGTTACATACGTCCACTTTGAACCTCTTCATTCTTCTCTCATGCAGTTGTGGAACGAGCTGCAGCAGCGGATGCAGGACAGACGACTGAGAGACACGAACACACACACGTGATGAGCACAGCGGTTGCTCAGCAATGGGCATAAAGACGGCTTCCTATTTGTTTTTGTTTTTACCCACCATCCTTGCTCCAGACAAAAAAGAACAAGAAAGATGTGACCTAAGATAGTCCTTTGTGAGCATTTCAAAGAGCCGTGGAGAATAAACCAAGAGATGGAATAAAAGTTCCAGTTTTATGCTGGGACCTTGGTCATTCTGTTGACGATGCTCTTTCCTGGGGGCCTGAGCTCCATCTGTAGCAACCAACAAGGAGAACACCCACCTGCATCTTTGAGAAGCAAAAAAGCTGTCTGTCTGTTTCCAGACTTACTCAGAATGATTTGGGACACATGAAACCAACTCTGTGAGAATCAGTTTTCCAGCATGAACATTTTTATCTGGAAGATTATACTGTACACACATCTAGTAACCTTCTTTATAAAATATATATTTCATTTAACTTGAACATGTGGAACAGGACAACAGGAGGCACAAAAAAATGGCAATGTGTCATTGCTAGTGAAAAATGTGACTAAGATACATTTTCTCAAGATGTAAAGATGCCGAGCAGAAGAAAATGAAAGCACATTTGAGACATGCGGCTACCTGATAACGGTTTCATTTGAAAGGCATGACTTCAGTTGAACCTTTTCACAAATATTAAATTCATTCATCAAATGGACTACTATAAGCCCCATATAGTGGTTATTTGTTAATCAATTCAACTTCTATTTCATTTGAAGCCAGTATAACCTGACTTTCAACTCCTCACATGTAAGAATATTCAACGGGATAAACATTTAAAACTGAGTTTATGGTTACAGTTACTTTCCCACAGGTAAACACATGTTTAAAATACACTATGCTCCTCGTTTCATAAATTGGTCCATGGTAGTGAGTCACAAGCTTAGAAAGAATATTCTAGTCAAGTAATTATTAAGTATTCTAGATTGAAACACCAAAGTAGATTGGTTAGCATTTTAAAAATCCATGCATACGGGGCTTCCCTGGTGGCGCGGTGCTTGAGGGTCCGCCTGCCGATGCGGGGGACGCGGGTTCGTGCCCCGTTTCGGGAGGATCCCGCGTGCCGCGGAGCGGCTGGGCCCGTGGGCCGTGGCCGCTGGGCCTGCGCGTCCGGAGCCTGTGCTCCGCGGATGGGGGAGGCCACGGCAGTGAGAGGCCCGCATAACGCAAGAAAAAAAAAAAAAAATCCATGCATACAAAAAGAAAAACTACCACTAAAACCACACAATTTAGAAGTTATTGGTATCTGGCTAATCTTAGAGAGTAAATTCTCAAATTAAGTGCCTAGTTACAAATAAGGAGCTCTTAGGAATACAAGTGGTATTTCTAGTTATATTTAAATACATTTTTGACAATCACCTTTTAAAATAATTCTTAAAATGACTTTGCATAAGTCTGTTTTTCCCTTGCACTAATCACCATCTAAAATAATGTGTTTTACTTAATCATTTGCTTTTCTTTCCTCTAAAATGTAAGTTGCATGACATTTACTGCTATATTTCTAGTACCTAGAATTGTGCTTGGCACATAGTAGATACCCAGTAAATAATTGCTGAATGAATAATTGAATGAATTTAATGTACTTGTAGTTATTGAGATATAAAATAAATGTATAAAAAATATTGAATTCCATTTGTTCACCCACATGTAAACTTTTAAAGAAGAAAACATGAATTTTGATCTACTCTATAAGATAAACTGCAAAAACAGGTTTAAAAAAAATACTAGTGATTACTAATAAGAAGTAATTCTACAACTTACCACAGCATTTGAATTGGCCAACTTTTGTGTCTTCGAATAATGAAATAAGAACTGTTAAAAAAATAGTGAGCTTTACTATAGATAATTAGTGGTTTCCTTGATTATTTTTTAATGTACATATTTATGGAAATCACCTTACCCTTTTGGTATTATCTTTTTCATCTGTTTCCTATTGAAAAGAGAGATATAGAAATGTCATTATATTATTTTAGAAAATCATAATATGTATAATATAAATGTATAGTTTAAAATTTATAATTTATTACAAGATTATATAATTTTTAAAATATATGACACATATGTTATACATAAAACATAAGACTGTAATTGGTTAAGCATATATTACCCTAAAAATAAATGGGCAATTAATCAAAAGCTTTATAAATAAAAGTATGTTTATAAATAAAAGTATGAACAAAGATCTTTACTACAGTATTGTTCATAAGAGTGAAAAACTAGAAACATCCTAAATGTTCAGTAGTGGTGGAATAGGAAATACTGATATGATCACATGATAGAAAATTCAGGGAAAAAGACTAGAAGGAATCACATCAAAATATTTGTGGTTGTTATCATGAAAGAACAAGATTATCAGTTATTTTTGCTTTCTTCCATAAACTTTTTTATAGGCCTCTCTCCCTACAAAAATCTGTCTTTAAGAACAAGACATATCATTCCTTTTTTGTTGTTCTTTTTTTTCTCATTTGCTTTTAAAGTAAATAGAAACTCATGGATAAACAACATTGCCATTTATTTTCTCTTAATTAGGAAAAAAATCAATTAAATGTTTTGGAAAATGTCAGTATTAAAAATATTGGGAAAAAATACAATTGTAAACACTTATGTGAAAGTCATGAAAGTCAGACCAAACCGGTGATCATAGGTTAAACTGCTAATGAAAAATACATTCTAAACCTAAGGCTCTTATCCTTAATAAGGTAATTTTAAAATTAGTTTACCTATAAGATACAGAACATAACTGAGGTATGGTACCTCATGCCACTTTTCAAGTTCCCATTGCCTCACTTTGGGACAAAAAGTTCTCACACAAGAATCAAATAATAATTTTAATAAAAACCGAGACATCACAGTAAGAATACAATTTTCAAACCGACATTGACGATATAGTTTGCTTTTTTTGCATTCTTAATGTCCTCTCTGACAAAGTAACTGTCCTAACCTCTGGGCTTAGAAAAATGCATCTGTTCTCCAATTGTAGTATGATTCAAGAAGAGAGAAAAAGCCAAAATGACCTCAAATTTCCCTCATCAGAACTAGAACACATCTTATACTTGAAGGGGACATACCATTTTCCAATCAGATGATTGCGAACTCCATTAATATAACCCTAAATTCTCAGGCGTCAAAGAAACTGAAGTATTTGTTTCTTATCCAAAGTCAATTTATGCTCTTCTAGCTCCTCTTGGCATGCTTCCTAAATTGGGTATATTTTCTTCCAGGAGGAATTCCAAGATACCACTGAGCAATTTTTTGGCCTACAAATTAAACACCATTTGAACCTTACCTGGGTCTTTGGTAGAGTCCCCATAATTATGAAGCAAAGCTCCTCCAATGCGTTGGATGCCTAATGGAAGTGAGAAGATATATAGGCCATGCTTCTGTGTTATCATCATTTGCATAGAAGAGATAACCATAAAATGTTAGGATCACAAGGACATTCCAACCGTTAGGAGAATCACTGACTGAAACTGCCCGCCCTGGCCAGGCACCACAGTAACCACTTGCATGAGTTATCTTACAACAGGAGGTCCTGGTAAGAATGCGGAACTAACAAGCTAGTATCAACCGGAAGAATTCAGGAGAGGTCAAAATGAGAGAAGAGACTCCAGTCCATATGTTACTGAGTCCAAGCTCGCTCTGCTTGCCGCACAACAGGCCAATAAATCGGAGATGAGGTGTTGAGGCAAGGAATACGACTTTATTTGGAAAGCTGGCAGACCAAGAAGATGGCAGACTAATGTCTCAAAATAACCATCTGATCGGGGTTTGGATGCCAGTTTCTTTTATAGCACAGAGACGGGAAGCAGATGAGGAAGTAAAGTAAAAAGGCCATACGTTTTGCAATATCCCCTGGAATGGCCAGCCTCGGGGAGGGGATGTGTTAATTTCTTCTTTCTTGCAGCCATCCACAGGTGGACAGGGTCTGGATGTTTCCCTTAACAAAGGCACTTTGGTTTAACATTCAGGTAGAGGGGTAGGGCTCCCCGAGGCAGGCCATTATGTAGAGACAGTATTCTTTTATTGAACAAAAGCAATGGGAAGCAAAGGTTAAAGTAAAACAAACAGATCCAACATGTAGTCAGATTTGGCGCTTCCCTGTTACACATATGTCCTACCAACCTCCCAGTATCCTTCTCGCTGGAATCCATCTTTGCTGAGTCATGCGCGCGCCACCAGGAAGGACCCTGAGTCGGAGTGATTGGCCAGAGATAACCCGGAAACTAGCTCCATTACCATAAAACCCGAGACTGCAAGCCATGTGGCAGAACAGTTCTCCTGGTTCCCCTACCCTGCTGCTCTCCGCCCGGGCTCCCCTTCCCAATAAAGTCTCTTGCTTTGTCAGCACATGTGTTTCCTCGGACAATTCATTTACGAGTGTTAGACAAAAGCCCACTCTCGGGCCCTGGAAGGGGTCCCCCTTCCTGAAACACAACTACACCAAATAGAATCCTTGTGGCCCACTGACACTCTGTTGGAATCCCTTGATTTCTCTCATGACAAAAACTTGGCTCCTAAAAGTAAAACCTTCCTTCCAAAGAGGAAAAAAAAAAAAGTTACATATTGTCTATATGCACTGATTAAGGCTTCCACTGTGGGTCCAGATACAAAGTTCTCAGTATTGGGGGCTTCCTTGGTGGCGCAGTGGTTGAGAGTCCGCCTGCCGATGCAGGAGACGCGGTTTCGTGCCCCGGTCCTGGAAGATCCCACATGCCGCGGAGCAGCTGGGCCCGTGAGCCTGCGCGTCCGGAGCCTGCGCTCCTCAACAGGAGAGGCCACAACAGTGAGAGGGACGCGTACCGCAAAAAAAAACAAAAAAAACACAAAAAAAACCTCAGTATTTGCTAAAATTCTATGAAATTCTGTGACAGAGAGTAACTAAGGCAGTGCCAGAAAAAGGATTATTCTTCCCAACTTGCAGCTAAGTCTGAATCTACATGCCAAAGTGGTGAGACTTGCTGAATAGTACTCATTACTGGCTAATTTGAAAATCCTTCAATTGCTCGCAAACAATGGGAGTTTGGAAGAAAAGAACCGTGTATGGTGCACCTAATGAGTTCCCACCCTTCCAGGCTGCTGATTGCATACCCCAGTGTCAGGTTTTTCAAAGCACCTGAGCACAGAAGCAGGGCAGGGCTCTTGTGGTTTGCAGCCAGCTGGGTGTGGTGAGAAGGAGCCCAACTGGACAAGCAGGGGCGAAACCCACCTTGCACAGAATTCAGCATGGTCGCACCAGGAGTAACTGATTACTTAATAAATACATATGGGAAATAATGAGGAGCTGAAACAGTGTGGGAATGGGGTAGGGCTGTGGAGTCGAGCGGCCTGCAACTCCAGAGCAGTGCAAATTCCATTTCTCCTCTTTATTAGCTGTGTGACCTTGGGCGGGTTACCTAACCTCTCTAAACTTCAGTTCCTGCAGCTGTAAATCGGGGATGACAACATCAATGCAGAATTCTTGGAAGGATTACACGTAGGTAAAGCTCTTAGCACAGTGCCACATACAGAGCAATTAGTTAACAATAGGAGCGCTGAAAAATGTGTGACCTGTAAAGCTTGATTTAACAACTGCAGTTACTGCTAATTCAGAAGATGTGTCATAAAGGATCGCTCACCCTCTGAACAACAGCACATGTTTAACAGGATTGGCTATAGTTTAGGGATACAGTTGGAGTCATGAAACAGCTTCTCTGAGCATCCCACCTAGCATGTCAAAGGCCTGCTTTGTTCTCTTCTGTTTGCCTGCCCAATGCAAATTGTTGGGATATTTATTAATAGTATTAAAATGGCTCATATTTAAGTAGTATTTCAATAAATTATCAAACATTTTCATATACATAATCCACACTTTGTCTTTAAAACACAGCTTGACATATACAGGATGGGAATTGTTATTCTCACATATAAAGCAAGTGAGATTCTAAGAGACTGTCACTTGCCCAATACTACACACGGCTAGGTCGTCTGATCTATAGGTATCCCTGTGTTGCACTGGTATTGACTATTAAGCCTACGGTTGGGAGTTGGATGAGAGAAAAAGTAGAGCGTGAACACTGATACATCTTTTCTCACTTTTTCCCTTCAGGATTGGGTATGCAGCTCACCCCAGAAAAATCTAGAAATAAATCCCTGAAACTTCCTCTTATGGCCCATCTAGAAATGCTGAAAAAATACAAAATAATTTTTAAAAAAATCTAGTGATACCATGTGTCTCTTAACTCAAAGAAGAATAAATTTAGTTATATGAGTGTCTCCTTAGAAAACAGCTTCTAAGCCAGCTGAGGCTTGGCAACAAGACTGAAGTTTGACAGAAAAAGTTTCGAAACAAATTGCATTTTCTCCAGCAACTTTTTACATGAAGCCATTATTCACTGAGCTACAACTATTCTTTAAGGATTTTTCTCATATGAGATTTTTAATTTTTTATTTTTTATTTGTGGACCTTTTAAAGAGCCTTTATTTTCTATTTGGTAAAAATGTTTTGAAGAACTATTCAGATAATCACATACATAATATAATAATAGTTAACAGGAAATTAACAATTTTAAAAAAATGGTATCAGTTAGTGTAAAAGGTTTCATAGTAAATTTACAAAGCTCTCCTCAAAAGGTACAGCCTCCAAATCCAATAAAAGCTTAGTTTACGTCGATGGTGTTTAGACGAGTGCTTTAAAATTCATCCTTTTAATTTTGAAGACATAAAAGTGATTCTGAGGGTGTTCCTGAATTTCCAATGTAATGCAAAAGCTTGTGTGTGATTAATATCCACCACATGTTATATATCTGTCAATGCTCCTCAAGCAATTTGATATATCATTCATAAATGTTGTCTATTATGATTCTGGTCTTGCTTTAGCACTTAATGCCTCTAACTTGCTGCAAGTGATCCTCTGCAGGCTGAGGAACCAGTCGAGGCAGGAGAAAGGCTGTTTCTCCACACTGGCCAGGATGACATTCTCGAAGGACTACATGAAGGACAGGCATCGCGCCATGGCCAGACCATGTAGGGGTTCGCCCCAGGCACACAGCTGACTGTGTTGAGAAGGTTGAGCCAAGCGCCTCTGCTGAGCCCTCTCCTCTGTTCAGGAGACTTAGTGATGCTGATTAAGAAAGTTAAGACACCAAGCTTAACTCTGCTACACCTGCACTCAGAGACAGAGCTGCAGACAGAGGGAGCAGTGTCTAGTAGAGACGTGTAAGAAGGACACACTTACTTCCCACTGCTCATGTTTCTGAGACTGCTGGGACCTGGGACCCTTTGCTGCAGTGCTGCAAGGCTTGAACCTGGACAGACCTCTCCTTGGCCAACAAAATACAAAGAAACCATGTGGGACTAAAAATAACTGTGTGTATGCACAGTTGGGGCAAATTATGAACAAAAAGATACAAACAGACCAAAAAACCTTACTGCCACTTCTGAAGAGCTGGGGGACAAAAACAGTGTTTGGGGAGCAAAAGCAGGGTACAGAGCATGCTCCCTGCACTCAACACCACCAGAGGAGTGGGCCAAACACTTAAGCCAGCCCTCCAGCCTGACCGCTGGACACACCCCTACCCTCACCCCATATAAGGAACTAGCTCGCCCCCCTCGGAGAGTGAGCAAGGGCACCTGTTACTCGATCTAGCTTCCCCCTGCTGTAGCAGGGGCCCCAGTAAAGCTTTGCCTGAATTTCTTGTCTGGCCTCTAGTCAATTTCTATTGATTAGGGAAGGCCAAGCACACTGGTCTGTATCATTTCCAGGTACAGAAGCTAGACCACTCCTCTCTCCCCAGTCCTCTTAACTCTTCCCTGTGGGAAGAGGAGTGAGTTACCTGACAGATGATTGAGAGGAGGAAATCGGGCACACTCTGTTGAGCCCTTTCCTCTTAGACAGCCAGCTCTCTGGCCAGTTGTTCTTGCCTGATTGCTGCCGCGTGGCAGAAAACCCGATTCTGGCAGGAGGTTTGAGTCACAGTCTAACCTCAGTTTAATTCTGGGGGTAGTTTTAGCAGACACACTTAGCAGCAGATCTAAAGCCACATTCACAAATTGACTTTTCAGTTACAATGATATTTTGATCTCCTAAGCCTGACTCTGTAAGTTCATCTCTCCATGGGTTGCAAACTATTGAGGGCCAGGATATTAGTCCCCCAAGAGAGCAATGGATTCATTATTTTTAATCTAACACAGAATTTGATTTTGAAATTAGCATTTTAATTTCAAAAATATGGGTATAGTATATGCAAATCTATTTTTCTTAGAGATAAAAGCCCTAGCACTTTACACCATAAACTCAGAGCACTCATTATTACCTGCAGATGACGTAATAATTTCTAATACGTTGACATTTTAGTAAGTCCATAAAATAATGATGTGTCCAAAGGGAGAGATGGAGTATTTCAGCATGACAAATGCTTACATCACTATGAAACACCTCCATTTGGAATTACCTGAGGCAGAGGATCCATGGACAGGAAAGACGAACAAGCATCATCTATCTGTAGAAAACAAAAATGCCAGTTACATCTTGGAAACAGAGAGAAGATGGCAAAAAATGGAAAGCAGATTTTACGAAGTCAAGTTACCTATGCAACATTAATTAAAGTTCCATGACTGTTCAGGACTCTGGATTTGGGAGGCAGGAGCCTTTTACACTATCTAAGAAAGTCCTGGAATTGGGATTTCCCCAAGATTCACCCCCAGGCACAGGGATATACATCCCCATTAACAGTCAGTAGGGATCATCAGAGCATAAAGATGCTTCAAACATTGAAGGGAAAAACTTATGGTATTTATTTGGCCTGAGAAACGTGAGTAGTGACTAAAGAATGGCCTCAAAATTAAGGAGCACCCTGCTATGTGGTTCTTTAAATCTAGTCATATCTACATATAAATCTAATCACACCATCTAAATTAACATGCTAATAGCATGTGTGCTAAATGACAAAGAGTGTAAGTAAAAAGTCTTACACAACATGGGCCATCTTCCAGTTCTCTACCAAGAAGCCAGCATGAGAAAATAGTTCTATTTTACAGTGAAGGTTTACTGAACTATGCTTGCCAACTAGCTGTCCTCGGCTTTTTTTTTTGGCCAACTAATTTTATTTTTATTTTATATTGGGATATAGTTGATTAACATTATGTTAGTTTCAGGTGTACAGCAAAGTGGTTCAGTTATATATATACATATATCCATTCTTTTTCAGGTTCTTTTACCATATAGGTGATTACAGAAGACTGAGTTCCCTGTGCTGTATAATAGCTTCTTGTTGATTATCTATTTTATATATAGAAGTGTGTATATGTTAATCCCACACTCCTAATTTATCTTGAGGGCTCCTTTCTGTGGAGTTTTTTTTTTTTAATTAATTAATTTTATTTATTTATTTTTGGCTGCCTAGGGTCTTTGTTGCTGTGTGCTGGCTTTCTCTAGTTGCGGCGAGCAGGGTCTACTCTTCCTTGCGATGTGTGGGCTTCTCACTGCGGTGGCTTCTCTTGTGGAGCACGGGCTCTACGTGTATGGGTTTCAGTAGTTGTGGCTTGTGGGCTCTAGAATGCAGGCTCCGTAGTTGTGGCGCACGGGCTTAGTTGCTCCGCGGCATGTGGGATCTTTCCGGACCAGGGATTGAACCCGTGGCCCCTACATTGGCAGGCGGATTCTGAGCCACCAGGGAAGTCCCTCTGTGGAGTTTTGATGAGATGTTTAGGAGGCCTTGCCAAAGACCTTGTTTCCACTGTTCTGCACACACATTTGTGAAGCACTTTCTGCTCAATGTTATTACAAAGCTCTGCTGGGGGTACACCAGATCTTGGTAATGGTCTCGTGAAGGTTGAAAAAAGGATCCATTTCTTCAATTTTTGTTGCACATTTAGGGAAAAAGCCTTCAGAGAGAAAACTTGGACCCTCTAATGCTTTGATGTCCTCATAAGTAAACCTCACAGTGGGAACTCCAAGATGGTTGATGAAGTAATTGGCATCATCTTGCAACTGTACAGAACTGGTATTTGTTTCCGGGCACTGATCTCTTCTGGAACAGTTGACTCTTAATATCAAGACCCGAATAAAAGCTGTGATGATGGCAGTGCTGCTGGCCCATTCTAGTCCATTATAACTGTATGTGGTATGTTGATGGCTGCCAACTATGATATAACGGTCTGGAGATGTCGAGCCTTTGTTTGTTTTTGTTTTTGTTTTTGCGGTACGCGGCCCTCTCACTGTTGTGGCCTCTCCCGTTGTGGAACACAGGCTCCGGACGCACAGGCCCAGTGGCCGTGGCTCATGGGCCCCAGCCGCTCTGTGGCACGTGGGATCTTCCCGGACCGGGGCACGAACCCGTGTCCTTTGCATCGGCAGGCGGACTCTCAACCACTGTGCCACCAGGGAAGCCCCGAGCCTTTTAAATATCCAACAACATTAGTAACTGTTTCAAATTTTGTGACTGTCTAAATCTGCATGCTGACATTCTTTCCTCATTATTTGGAAGTTCTAGAGGGCTACAGGCACTGTGTGTGATTCTATCTTTCAGCAAAGAGATGAGTTTTGCAACAAGAGATGCTGAGATGGGGTGCATTAGTAGAGAGGTGAGGTTTGATCGGTTTTGTCTAAAGCTTCCATCTGCTAGTGTTGGAGGGTCTCCTGCAGAGGCGGGGGGCGGCTGTGGCTCACCGTGGGGACAAGGACACTGGCAGCAGAAGTTTTGGGAAGTACTCCTTGGAGCGAGCCCTCCCAGAGTCCACAATTAGCCCCACCAAAGAGCCAGGTAGGCTCCCGTGCTCTGTCCTCAGCTTTTATCCTTAAAAGAAACCTTGAAGGACCTTAAACTGTAGTATGAGATTTATACTAATCATTAAAAAACTGTGCTGAGAAGTTAAGCACTAAGCTAGGTATCTAGAGTTATCTATGGCATTTATTTCCTTGGTGGCCTTTTAAAACAGGACTGGAAAAAATGGTACTGATTCTTGTCTGTCTGGGATGATTTAGGTTGAGTTCTATTTATGGCATAACATCTCAGGGGCCCCCTTCTAGTTTCAGAATTGTTTGTTGAATTTAATTTAATTGCCATTCTCACACTAAACTGAAGGGGGATAATCATACCCTTTAGTCATAATTTCTCAAGCTCCTCTGGTTTCCAAGTTGAACATGAACTAATATATATAATTCTGTAATTTAGAGAATAACAAAGGTATACGGTATGATAGAAAAGCATACGTTTATGTCTCCTTTTTATGTTCACAGAATTTATCCTCTCTATATATCACAAATACTGAGAGAATTGTTTTATTCTATTTGTCTCTTGTGTCCATCCACCTGCTCCCTCTACCATGCCATATAAACCCAGAATCATGGATACAAACACACACAGACAGTGGTAAACTTCTTGAGGGCAGGGGCTACCTAATGTGCCCAAATAAGTGTTCAATAAATATTCTTTAATTAAATTGCATTGAGTTTGTGGGGAAAAAAATAAAAAGAGAAGTCAATTGAGAAGGGAAAGCGAAAAAGATATCCTTTTAAGCTTCAAATTGTGACTAATGCTTTATGTATCACCCCCAAATGCGATTTAATTTGCTCTAGTAGGGTAGGAGGAAGTGGTCCCTCTCGAAATTGTTGTGATGCTTAGGTATCTGAAGACTTTACATGCTCAAGGGGAAAGCTGTCCACCCCCAGCCCAGGCTGCTCATTTGTATGAGGTGGCCGTGTCCAAGGACAGCGGACCCTTGAGCTTCAGGGCTCACTAATCAGTGCATCAATATGGCTTGAATAAAAACATCAGAATAAGAAAAAACACCAATTAATCAAATTAGGAGATAACTGCAAAGCTTTTCAGTCTTTGTTCTCCTTTCTTTAAAAGGCATGGCTGCACTGCCCACCCACTCTCCCTTTGGGTAAGCATTTGTTCACTTCACTCAGCTTATGGCCCTAATGGTTTTAAGTGCCACTAATGCTTTTGAGAACTCTGTGGAGTCCATGGATGAACCCGTTTGAAAATGGTTAGGTCTCTATATACGGTTTGAAAAGTATGTGTTTCTAGCATTTGAATAGCTATGTAATATTTAAAACCTCCAGCAGAAAGCTTAACTATATGTTCTTAGCATCTTCTTTAAATATCTTTTTCTATAAAAGAATGTACAGTGCTTGTACAGCTCCATTTGAGTTTTTTCCCCAGCATTATCATGTAAAAGTTTTTTTCAAAGATTTTCCTCAGAAATATAATTTCAAGCCAAACTGAATGTTTCTGTACTCTACATTAATATCTGTTTTTAAATTATTCTTCATCTTGCTTATATTTTTCTAGCATGTATTATGATATACCAAGGCAGAGGCCCTTAAAATAGTCTTACAAATTTCTGTGCTATTTAAGACTCTTTGGTACTTGGCCCTTATCACCTGTCTTATCTTTGCCCTTATGTATTTTGTTAGGGGGTGGCTTAGGTATAAAGGGTATTCTCCTCAGTTCATAGCTTTCTATCATCACTGGACTCACTTTCTTTATCCTTTTATATTTCCATTTCATACTCCTATACCATCCTCCCATAAGCAGTTCTTGTAATGTATTTGATGTGTATCCTCTGTTTATGTCCTTATGAAATCTGTACTGCTGTTTGCTGTGCACATATGGTATTTTCTTACTTTTTTTTTTTTTTTTTTTTTTTGTGGTACGTGGGCCTCTCACTGTTGTGGCCTCTCCCGTTGTGGAGCACAGGCTCCGGACGCACAGGCTCAACAGCCATGGCTCACGGGCCCAGCCGCTCCGCGGCACATGGTATCTTCACGGACCGGGGCACAAACCCACGTCCGCTGCATCGGCAGGTGGACTCTCAACCACTGCACCACCAGGGAAGCCCTTACTTTTCTTAACTTAACACTATACTTTAAGATCTCTCCCTGCTCCTGGATACCTCTAGTGTGTTGCTCCTAACTGCCATAGAGTATTTATAACGTGCATGCACCACATGTTGCCTACCTACTCCCCAGTGATGCGAGGCAGGTTCCCTCCACTCCTCCCATTACCTCCTTGTATCTGTCCTCCACATATGGTTCTGTAGGAGAATATATTTGGGCTACACACTCAGGAGAGGGCATGCTAGACCACAGGGATATCTAGGCGGCTTTCCAGATGGCTACACCAGTTGACACTCTCATCAGCAATGCATGGGGATTCCTACACCCTACATCCTTGCTAACGTTTGCCATCCTCTAGATTTCAATTTTTTGCCAGTCTAACGGATAGAAAGTGACTTTTTCATGTCATTGTTACTAATGGATTTGAGCATCTCTTTAGATGCTCGTTGGTCTTTGGGTTTCCTCTTTGTAAATTGTTCTACTCTTTGACTATTTTTACTTTGGATTCCTGTCTTTATCCAATTAGCTAGAATTTCTTAGATATTCTAGAAACTAATTCCTTATCAGTTTTAGGCATTGTCAATATCTTCTTTCAAAGGCTCTTACATTTTTTCAATGGAGTCCTTTGTTGAAAGAAATCTTTACTTTTAATGT